GTGCGACCTGTCAGTTGCAGGCGGCCTGTTGTCGCAGTTGTTGTTGCCCGGCGGCCATGTAAAAATATGGCACACGTTGCGTATACGTCATATACACGTACGAAGAAGAGTGAGCAAGCAAACATACATACACGGACAAAAATTTATGAAAATTGTAACAAAAATATCAAGACTGAAAAATTAATAAAAAAATTAATAATTAAATTACTTTCGTTGTAACAAAAAATTAAAAACATTTTTTTTCTTATTGTAGGAACTAAATTTTTTTAAAAAATGTTTTGCTTTCTATGCTAAAGCATGTAATGTTAATTTTTTTCTCTGTAAACTCAGCAGAGATGTGAAAAATGTTGGCAGCTCCGAGGGAAATTGAGAAACTGACGGGGGAACGAGCCTAGAGAATGAAAATGGAAAACAGGAGCAGCAGCAGAAGAGGAAATGTCGTGAGTGAGTGAGTCTGTTGGAGGGGAGTGTACGCGTATGAGTGTGTGTGTGTGAGTGCGTGTATGTTTAAGTGTGCATGTGTTTGCGTGTTTGCGGAGAGTGGGCGGGCGGCAAGATGGTGGGGGCGTAGGTGGGCCAACGACATGAGCCGTGACGTTAGGCTCATTTATTTATTATTTCCTCAGATTGAAGCACTATCAATAACCAAGTGCAAACAAGACGAGAAGAAAGAGCCCCACACACACACAGAGAAACACAAAAGCACCGAATTTGTGGGAAGCATCTGGCTGGGGAACGAATTTTTGGGGTTTGGTTTTATCAACTTTACAGCCTTTCTGGTTGGCCTTGTTTATAGATCCATTCCCGAAAAATCTGAGAGCATCTGGAGGCGTATAAATATGGATACTCACTTTACAACTTGATTGAGTTCCGTTCGCCCAAGGATACAGGACTTTTTAACTTGTATTAAAGTACTAATTAACTAAATTGGTCATAATACACTTACAATCACAAATAGACTCACAATAATTCTCATTTACATTTTAGAGATCCCAGCACCGGATTTCCCCCTTTAAACAGGATAATTTTTAGCGCAACTCTGTTTTGTTATCTCTGTGAACTGTTTGCATAAATCAAAACTCTTTACATTTTCCCGTCCTGCCGTTGTGTATACGGTTTCCCATGTGTGCCATTCATTTAGATGTGCATTCACTTTTTGTCATATTTTTTTCGGATGGCCGGAATCATGATTTAGTGCCGCCACTAGCCGCTGTTTGGGCTGTTCTGGGCTTAATGATGTCAATCGGCGCGTGCCCTGGCTTTAAACTAAGGCCGCATATTTGCCAAGTTTATTTGGGCAGAAAAAAACCAAAGGGGACAGGGGGCCCGCACACTCATCATAAATGTGAATGAGATACGAGCACGGGCGTCTGTGAAAGGTAACATGGAAAACCAATCGCAGGGCTGGACGCATATTTCAAGACCCATCTCCAAAAAAGGTTCACAAGTGCGCTGATATGCGGAGAGATGCTTGCCAAAAAATTACATGGACCATTGGTCAGCGGCAGCAACAACAGCAGAAATGGGCCACCAGCATCATGGCCCGCAGCAACCCTTAAACAACATGCTACCCCTTGGCCCACACTGCCCCGCCCACTTTGTCGCCCCCATACACACACACACTCGTATATTCAGAAAAGAGAAAAAAACACCTTTGATGTATGTAATTTTGTTACCATTTTTTATGCCTCTCATTCCGATGTTTTGTTTCGTCCACTTTTTGGCCATAATGCAGAGCGGTTTTTTGTGTGCGTAGATACAATTGGGGTCAAAGCAACAGCGAATCAGTGTTATTACTATTATGTTTATAAATTGTTAGCCCGGCTTTTTTATTTCTTCAGTTTATTTATCAGAAATAAAGATTTCGCTAGTTCCTAAAGTTAAACCGATACAAGCACAGATATCGATTTTTTTATTTAATTTAAATTTAAATTTAATTGTTTCCAGTCTCTTAAATAATTTATTTTATAATCTTCACGCCTTATTAACATTATAAAGAGGCTTTAAAAATATCAATAATTTGCATGCGGTGTTACGGCTTTTAGGTTTTATCCCAGTACCGCTACTATTTTGACCCCAGCTGTGTGTGTTTGTGTGCGCCCCTCTGCAAGTGTGTGTGACACAGAAAGCCAGTTGTGCGAGGTGCGAAGCTGTGACGTAAGCAGCGAGCCAAAGCAGCGGAGGACTGGCCATCAAATTGGGTTACCCCCCAAAAAAAAAAAAAAAAAAAACAAAAATGTGAATGAGGAAAGGGCGGCGGGATGATACATTTTTTCAGTGGCTTCTGCCGCCACAAGGGAAATGAGATTTGCGCCTCGGAGTGTCAGTTTCAGAAGCGGAGGAAAAAATAAGGATTCGGGAGTAGCAAACTGGATTTCAGGTGGAAAGACACGCATATGTAAATCTTTATTTCTGATAAATACATTCAAACGTACATATGCCCAATAAAAAAGTCCTGGTGATTGAGTTTATAGTCGGATAGCGCTTGAAATTCATTTTCTTTCATAAATACTTCGTACGACTTTTTGCCATTCGACCCAACTAATTGGCCATCAACAGAAAAGAAAGTTGAAAACTTTGTCGCCCAGAGGAAAACTTTAGACTAAGATGAAGTCGTTTATTGACTTTTTCCCACAGATAGGCAGGGAATTTACTTGAGACTAATTGAATTACTGGAAAATTGTCATCGACTAAAGTGTGTTGTGCAGTCATCGAATAATTATTATTTTTAGCAGGAGACGGCCTGTGACCTTCGCTCCCAAGAAGAGGAATCTTAATTACATTGAACTAAATTATGAAGAGCGCACAGTTCACTTAATAAGTATTTGCCCGCCGACAGCAGAAGCGACAGCGATTGGCACAATTCCCACAAGCTGACAAACTCATCAAAAATTTCACAGCCACTTGGGAAGGCAGAAAAGCGCAAAATTTTTATTGTGTTTTCATTAGAGGCGCGCAAGTGGTCAAAAGGCTGCACTTAAAACAAATGCTTAAAAATTTCCGCACAAAAATTAGGAAACCTGGAAAATTTCTTAGAAATGAAATATTTTTAATCATTAAACAAGAGAGAACGCTATAGTCAGGTGCCCCGACAATCCGATAACTATTACTCAGCTGAAGGTAGTGCGAGGGAGATGGAGACACGAAACTTTGATCGGGCATAACATTTTAAGGAATTGTCCGATTTGTTTTTTTTTTCATTTTATTTTATTTATTTTATTTCATTTAATTTTTAAAACCTTTCTGTTATTACTCGCAAGATTTTGAGAAAATTATTTGAGGGTCTGCCACTCCACAGATGACTATTACATGGTCTTATGAGTTAGATAACATTTTCCTGAGTGTATCGAGTAAAGGAAAGCAAACCACCGTCGCCTAGGACACTTTTAAGGGGCGTGACCACCAGGCGGGAATTGAAGTGGGTGTGGAAACTTTGAACAACTTTGACCAAACACCCGGACACGCGCGAGAAATGTGCAAAAGGAGCTGAGAAGGACGGCGCAAAGGAACCTAATGAACAAATGAACAACGCACAGATAGAGATATGTATCTCTCTTTGCATATACAGTGTGTATATATTTACATACAGATGGTCGAACACTTTTTGGGGGGAAATGGATGGGGGGAAATACTTTAATCTCAAGGGCACGTTTCCGGAAATAAATAAATAAAGCTCCACGGAAGAAAGCAAAGCAAGGAAAAATGTTGTTCTGCTCATAAAGCAGAAACGGAGAAGAAAAGCTCTTCGGCATAGAAACTCTTGACATAAGCTAGGGAAATGAAATTCTTTAAAATTTTAATGATTCAAAATATTTGCACGCTGAACTCGTCATATTTTTCATCTTGAAGTTTTGTTGTTTTATGTGGCCAGCACTTGATTTTAATTAATAATTTAAACAAGGCACAGTTGTTTCGTCGACCCGAGGGAAAATAAAACTTTATCTTGGATGACCAACTTGAAATTAAATTCAATCAGACATAGCAAAGCAGTAAAACCGGTGAATATGAAATATTCTTCACGGATGGGTAAATAAAATTGTACTTTCTGCGTCTGCTTTCATTAAAGATACACTTTTTTTCTTATGGACTAAAATTGTTATACCCGTTACTCGTAGAGTAAAAGGGTATATTGTATTCGTGCAAAAGGATGTAACAGCTACGATTATAGTCGGGACACCAACCCGAGTACAGCGTTCGCACTCCCTTTAGCTGAGTGACGGGTATTAGATAGTCGTGACACCAACCCGACTATAGCGTTCTCTCTTGTTTTTCTTTTGTATTTAGCCTAACGAAAATTCAAGTTGTTAATTATACATTAAGGCAGTGAAAAACTTAATTTGCTGCGAGTTCCTGCTGAGTTTGTAATTAAAAAGAGAACTTTTTGTTTTGCCAAGTCATCGATAAATCAAAGTGAAACAAGAGATGAACCCCGCTTTTCTCCTAATTTTCCTTATCCACAGAACCAAATCGCAGCTCGACAGCTGACGACAGCTGATTGATGATCCGCAAAATTACAAATTACACACAAATGTTATCCGAGGCAGGAATTTGGCAGATAAAAATTGCAGACCCAGCAAACACACGCCATCCAATTCACTTAAGGCGTTGCACCTTATTTGCTTTCACCCAAATTAATGAAATTGATTGATTATGTTTTTTTAAAGAACTTAACGGGGCCACAATTAAAATGATAAGTGTTTCATAATGACAAAATTTTGAATGGTTCGGAGGGTTTTCATATTTAGAAAAGGCGTCCAAAAGTTCATCAGACTGCCTGTGGTCGTGGGAAATTGAACAGCAGTTGCTTCGCACAACTCTCCCTATTTTCCCAGGACAAACAGTGAAAATGCTTTTTGAAAATATCAAATTTCCGCTTCCATTGAACGCAGCTTGCGATGCCTGTCAAAATGCGGTGAAAATGCTTAGAAAATAAATTTATCAATGGGGAAGTTTGTAAATGATAAGCATCGGAAAGGCTATTTATAAAAAAAAACCTCGTTATCGGCCATCGTATTTTAATAGCTTTGAAAATTTTTTAGTTTGTTGCTTGAACACTGAAAAATTTATTGTTCATTGAATGTTGATAATGCATGGTCATATAAATGGGGGTCCATTTCGAAGCGCTTTAAACGCTCGTAGAACTGCCCAAAAAAGAAACCTTCCAACTGGTAGATCTTGAATACTCTGTAGAATCCCACGTGTGAGAACTTGTTGTTGAATACCCAGATACAATGGTTCGGCATGTGCGAAATAATCCTATGTCTTCCACGTTGATCGAGATCGCAGGGCAGGTGCATGGTATGCTGGTCAAAGGGCATCGTCACAACCAATTCCCTTTTGTCACGTTTAATATGACGAATAGCAGTAGTGGCAGAGGGTTTTTCTGCTTCCTCCAACTTTTCCAGAGTCATGAGATCAGTGGAGTTTGCCTTCACATCGATTGCAGTTGCGTTTAACTTCTTTTCGATAGCAGTCTTATTTTGGCCAATACATTTTCCAGCAAGCGTTCTTGAGTATCCTTTAGATGGTATAGACTGCGAATTTACTTTATTTAATAGATCTTGCGACTGTCATAACTAGAGTTTCTTACCAATACAATTAGAAAGACTAACAGACAATTTATAAGCGGGTTCATAATCACAGAAGGTTAATTTTATGTTTTTATGTTTTTTTTTTTAAATTTTTGTCAAATACTAAAAATTTTTGTCCAATTGACAAGAAACAATTGACAACAAACTACCAGCTGCTTAAAATACTCGATCATAATTATTTTTTCCTACGTTACTACACTCGCATAGTCCCAGGTGTGCGGATCCATCTCAAAACGCCTCAAGCGCTCATGGTACTGACCAAACATGAAGGCCTCCAGCTGATAGGTTTTATAATAGCGATAAAAATTCTCCGTGGCAAATTTGTTGTTGAACACCCAAGTGCAGTAGGAGGGGAGTACTGAAGCAATCTTTCTGATAGCTCCTAGGTCCACATCGCATGGTAAATGATTGGTCTCAAAGTCAAAAGGCTCAGATGTACGTTTTTCACGTACTACATGCCTTACGATTGTCGTCGGATTGGACGATATTATTTTCATGGGCGCTGCCTTTGGTTTCGCTAAATCTGTGGAGTTTACTCTTCCAACAACAAGTGTGGTATTTCTCTGAGTCCCATTTTGGTTGGTCAATGCGTCACTTTTAATCTGCGGTAATTTCACTTCACTTGGGGGAATAGCTCGGGCAGTTCCACGCGGAAGCTGTTACAATTTATGTTACCATAGAATCAATCACGCAATTCATTCTTACCGAGCACACCACCACCATCAACGTTAATAATACTAAATTTAGTTTTAAAATCATGGTAATAAGGTGAAATAAAAATTAAAATATAATAAAATACAAACTGTAAAGTTAAATTGTTATCAGGGGAAGTTATGAAGGGAAAGTCGAGGCCTCCTCAAAATGCATAAAATACCAATAACGTCCATTTGAAATGCAACATTACAGATTATATATATTTGAAAAATAAAATGTTTAGGGCCGTTTTCTCGTCCGTTTGGTATATTTAAAGAAGGGTTAAAACCTTGAAATCGTACACACAAAAAAAAAAAACTTGGTAAAATCAACTGTAATAATTGTCAAACAGGCCCCAACCAGCAAAATTGTCAATTCTACTAAGTAAATAGTCATTTCATAACAACAAAATACACACAATTAGCAAAGACACACTATTTTAATAGTTACGTAACTATCTTTGTTGGTCAATTTTACCAAGCAAATTTGTTTGTGTGTATGGGAAATAAGAGTTTAAAGCTACCTTTAACGAAATAACTTGCTATTGAAGGCCATTTTTGTAATGCAATAAAACGATTTCCCCCCTTCCTTAAATCTTTCAACATTGCTAACCAGAAAAGACGTAGAATTTATTTATTGAATCTTAAACAGATTTAATATTATTGTAATGCTTTTTTCTACATGTTGTAATCGTAGATATGAGGTTCGAATTCATAACGCTTTAGGCGCTCGTAATACTGGCCAAAGAAAAAGGCTTCCAACTGATAAGTCTTGTAGATGCGAAAGTGTCCTTCGCTCAAGTACCGGTTGTTGTAGACCCAAATACAATGGTTGGGAAAGGCATGCACATAGCTCTGCCTGCCCCTCGAATCCATGTCACAAGGGCTATGCTTCGTGTGAAAGTCCAAGGGCATTTCCGGAATCCCCACTGGGCCACTGCGATAAATATGTTGTACGATGATCGGGGAAGGCCTTTCATTCTCTCTTCCGAGGCCCACTGATCTGGCAACTATTTCCTCCGGCATCTTAGGTTTGTAAGTGCTATGTTTTAAAACCCATTCAACTATTTCATGTTACTCACCAGAACAGCGCAAGAAACAAACAAAAAAGTGAAATATTTTATTAACTGCATTCTTGATTTTGTAGGTGTGTATTGTACAGATCTTGTAAATGATGTGTGCTAGGTTTCAAATAGATTTATAGAGCAAAGCCATCTACAATATAGAACCGTCTGTAAAATAGATGAATATGAAAATTATTTTAAGAACAGAAATATTTGGCTAAATTCGTGGATGAAAATAAAATAGAATATTATTAGGAATTCAATTTACAAATAAACGTTTAAGCGTTAGCTTCGTATGAAAACTACAAAATCCTTGGAGCAGCCATAACAACGATGAATCCAAATGGGAATGGCCAACCGCTGACAGCTGAAAGGATGTCGGGATATTAGAGAGGGAACGGCGATACACGAGCCAAGTCGAGCAGCATTTCAAGTGTGAAAATAATATGACAGCAGTAATCAAGGCGCTGATGGCAGAACTAACCTCTCACACATACTCCCCATATTGATTTCAAGCTGAAAGGCTGCAGGAAATGGGCAAAAATATCTGGCGGAAATGTTGAGCGAAACAGGGACCTCCCTGCTGCCAGGCCAGAGGGAGTTGGGATGGGCTGAATGTTAACACATGTCACTGGGCCATAATTGCAAGGGGGGCTAAGAAGGGAAGAGAAGCGAATTTCTAGCTAGAGCCCAAGCAAAATGAATGACAATTGTTTTGACACGCATGTTTTGACATTCAGAGAGAGACAGTGATAGGGCAGCAAACTGACACACCATATGCACTGAATGAGAGCGAGGAAGAGCACTCGATGGACGATGGGAGATAGATGTATGACCCACACTTGCAACTTAATTGAATTTCAAAGTCGGATTTCAGAGTTGGGTTTATTTGAAAATCGTTGTACCTCACATCCTTTTCCTGGAGCTTGTTGACATGCAACTCTATTAGGCCAAAGCGTCAGGTTAAAGCAAATATTAATGCTAACAAGAAAGGAAGCTACCTTCGGCCAGCCGAAGCTTATATACCCTTGTAGATAAAAGAATACTCACTCGGTGCAGTTCCAGGGATTCCAGATTCAGCGTTTCGATTTATTTCAATTTTGTTTTTAAGTAGTCAAGAATCAAAACGCCTACTTCCTACAAAGTTACAATGAATTTTCTTATATTTGATTGGGAGCCTTAAGATATAGTGGTCCGATCCGGCTGGCTCCGACATATGTACTACCTGCAATAGAAAGAAGACCTTCGGGAAAGTTTCATCGCGATAGCTTTAAAACTGAGAGACTAGTTCGCATAGAAACGGACAGACGGACAGACGGACAGACGGACAGACGGACAGACGGACAGACGGACAGACGGACATGGCTAGATAGACTCGGCTATTGGTGCTGATCAAGGATATATATACTTTATGTGGTCGGAAACGTCTCCTTCACTGCGTTGCAAACATCTGACTGAAATTATAATACCCTCTACAAGGGTATAAAAATACATGAGTTGTATTTGCAAACTATAAATGGAAACGAGTGCAGCATGCAGTATGTCGAAATTCGGAATTTTTACGATTTTCATGTATTATTAATCCTAGCCGTATCATAATTCCATGCTTTAAACCAGGTACTGTAATCATTATAAGTGAAAAAATAAAAATTACCATTTAATGATTATTTGTAAGCGAAAAAAAATATCGCTCTGAAATAATGACTATTATGTGAACGATATTATTTCGCTTAAAATTATCACTCAACGTGCGATTGCAGCCGTTCTGTACGAAATTTTATAAAGATTTAAATTTGTGCTTGTATGTAGAACCACGGAGCACATTTTGAGTTAATAAAATAAGGTGTTTTCTTTGTAAAAACTTTTAAAAACGCGGTTATTAGTTTACAAGAGGTGTGCATAAATATAAAAGGTTGAAGCAACCTTAGGACTTTATGTCATTTATATACTAGCAAAACGACTTAACAAGATGTTATGAACTATTCCACATAGATCCAACCAACCTGGGTGTTAGTGTGTTTGTCCTCCGTGCTGTAAACACGAGTTTTTATACCCTTGTAGAGGGTATTATAATTTCAGTCAGATGTTTGCAACGCAGTGAAGGAGACGTTTCCGACCACATAAAGTATATATATTCTTGATCAGCACCAATAGACGAGTCTATCTAGCCATGTCCGTCTGTCCGTCTGTCCGTCTGTCCGTCTGTCCGTCTGTCCGTCTGTCCGTCTGTCCGTTTCTATGCGAACTAGTCTCTCAGTTTTAAAGCTATCGCGATGAAACTTTCCCGAAGGTCTTCTTTCTATTGCAGGTAGTACATATGTCGGAGCCAGCCGGATCGGACCACTATATCTTAAGGCTCCCAAACAAATATAAGAAAATTCATTGTAACTTTGTAGGAAGTAGGCGTTTTGATTCTTGACTACTTAAAAACAAAATTGAAATAAATCGAAACGCTGAATCTGGAATCCCTGGAACTGCACCGAGTGAGTATTCTTTTATCTACAAGGGTATATAAGCTTCGGCTGGCCGAAGGTAGCTCCCTTTCTTGTTTTCTTATACAAAAGTCAACCGTTTTTTAAGCGGTTAATACACAGAAAATGTATTTTTTTCTTAGCTGGATATGTGCTTTGTGGTTTTAGCTACAAGTGCACATTTAAATAATTCAATCACATTTTAAGTGATATTTTAAGCCAAATAATATCGCTCACAAAATAATTATTATTTCTAAGCGATATTTTTTTTCGCTTACAAAATAATCATAAAATATTGATTTTTATTTTTTACTCAAAAAAAAATCATTATTTTCGGTCCCTGCTTTAAACACATTCAATTAAGCATTTATAAATTTCTCTGAGTTTGAGTATAAATTCTGTTGCCTGTATATCTTGTGGCTTTTGGCTAACCAGGGGTCGTCGAGGAAGATGACAACTGGCACCACACCTACTGCCATCTTCCTGGAAACGCTAAATGCCTTAACTGTTAATTTTGCGTCCAATTAAGCTCAGCAATTTTCGAGGGTCCAAAAGCGATATCTGCTTATGACATCTCGAAACCCATCTTAAACTCGACCTCAACCTCAAAAACCCCGAAAACCAAGCTCTTCGAGCATCGCGAACGTTTAGACTGCGAGTGCTGGATACATGGAATGCAAATATTTCCCCAGTGAATTGTGTGTACCTGCTGGAGATGCAATTTCTGAGCAAATGGGGCGCTTAATTAAAGCCAAGCACAAGGGGCCTACAGGTTGGTATGAGGGCCTGTCAGTCACTCAAAGGCAGAGACGAAGGACGAAAGATTGACGATTGCTGAGGTGCACAGGTAGCTGATGAATGTGTCTGGCTGACATTTTGGCAATGGCAGTTCCCATGGTTATAACTGCGTTCCAAGGAGTACCAGTGATAATTATACTTATTCTCTTTAATGGGCTTAATAGCTATTATTTTATTTTATTTTATTAAAGTTAATAGTTTTATTTAACATCTTTGAAGCATTAAATTATTTTCAACGTATCTAAATAACATTAGTCAAATATACGGGTTTTACCAGCTCTTCTAATTATGTCATAGGCCTCTAAATTAATTGTGATATTATCTCGTATATGGGGGCTGTTAAACCATGCTGGTTGCAAGGTTTCCTATATGCTATGCTATAACTCTGAGCGCATATGTGTGTGACGCAAATGCATTTGGCCAGGATTATATTCTGTGTTTCGTTGGCGATAAACCTCGATACCGGCCGAAGTTGCATACCGGCGTGGCAATAACTTGTCGCTGTCACTTTTCCTCCTGCAGCCCGGTTGCGACTATAAGCGCATTCCATCTTCGACTTTGCCAATAAAGTGAAATATCCTTCCACAATCTCTTCTTTCACGAATGTGCCAACCCCTCGCCATTCCAGTGCTTTACACTCCTTCGTGGCTGCTGCTGCGCTGGCACATATTTTCGCCTGCTGTGCCAGCAAATTTGTTGCATGACTCCTACACTGAGAAAATTAATAAATATCTTTGAGGAAAATAATTGGAATGTTAAATATGTATGTTACTAAAGAAATCCTTTGAATTCCTTATATTGGTAAATTCATTGTCTTAAATATATCGCAAATGATAGCCAATATAATAATGTTACCTAAATTTTCGAAAATGTGATGTAGACGTAGGTGTTTTTTCTGTGAAAACTATAACTGCCTCTGAAGCTGTAGCTTTAGCTGAAGCTGCAACTGAATGTGGAGCCACACACAAGCCTGGCATTTCTGTTCCCTTTCTTTACAGCAAGTTGTTTTTCATTTTCATTTAGTTTTTCCTTTTTTCCGCTTTTCGCACGAAGCGCCGCGACCCTTTTGTTTATTTGCGCTCTGTCGAATCACAAAAACTGTAGCGCCATCAGTGTTGGTTTGGGGCCAAAGGGTTGGATAAATGATACGAGGGGCGGAAGGGTGGAAAACTGGATGTGGGCACCTTGCACAAAGGCGAAGGCAGCAACGTTGCGACGAACTAAAGCGCAGCTAACAAAATGTTTATATGCCACAGGGTCTCAGCCAGAGATGGTAAAGATACCGTTTTTTTCATAGCAAAGGTACAAAAAACATGCCAACTACGTAGGTAGTATGGAAATATGTATACCGGGACCTAAAAAATACTTTAAAAAGCGTACACAATTTTATTTTCATTTAAATTATATTTTCGAATTTTATCGCTTTCTAGATTTTGTTGTACCCATGTAAGATAAAAAGTACCTTGTTATGACACAAGATAAAACTGAAGCTCCCCCAACTCAAAGCGGGAGAAAATGGGTGGTTTTGGGGGGTTGAAGGGGTGGTGCCGCTGGCTTACTGCTCACGTATGTGCAGTTATAAATTGCAGTTCGTGCGCCACGTTTGCCGGGTTACAAAGATGCAGGGGAAGATCCACTGCGTTCACAAAGAAAAGGTGGCTCCATGGATTTAGCCCAGTGTGTTTTTGTTAGTGGCGCAAAAGGGTTAAAAGGGAGTGCAAAAGTTATGCAAGAGGGGCGAACTAAATGTTGCAGTAATAGAATTACCAAAATACCAAGAGCTTGGCGATTATTAAATAGTTCTGCAGCCACATTTGGAAACCCTACGAAATTAAACTCATTTGAAAATGGCCAAATGTCGTATTAAATTGCTCTATTATATAGTTTGTGGCTACAAGGGTGTTAGCGGATAATTGCAGCAATAAAATGGGCACAACAAGAAAAAAATGTAAATTGGTTTAAGATTAAAGTGCAATAATAACACGGAAATAAAATAAAGGAAATATTCCAATAAAATCGTTGCTGGCATTAGTGGTGTGGCCGAGGAGGATCAAGTGCAGTTGCATTAATTTGCATTGAAAATGCGGCAACGAGTCGATGCTGAAATAATTGCACAAAAGCGGTTCCATTGAAATGGGGATGGGATGGTCGTGGGATATTGATAGCCCAGACAGACGGGGCGATTCGGAATCTAGTCCAATGCAAATGGCGAATTATTGGCGAGCTTTATTTGCTTAGGCATTAAAAGCGATTTTCAACTTTATTTAACCCCAATTTTGATACTCGTGTGTTGTGTTACACAACATGTTGCCGCTTGGCTTCACTTGATCTCGGCTGATTTGTAAATGTAAAACAGGAAATTCGCTGATTATTTTGCTTATCTGCTGTGTAATTAGTATAATGGGAGAGTGTTTTACAAAAGCAGTGAGGGGATGAAATAAAAAATTATAGTTTGGACTTTAAAATTTGAAAAGTAGATACATTTCAAATGAAAAATTGATATAGATTGAGTAGCGGATATTTTCGGTTTAGGCGCGGCTTTTAAGGTTTTAGAAAATATAAATAAATTAAATCGGCTTGGTCGCTTAATTAGCGCTTTAGTCGTCAGTGAAAATGGAGCTTCCCTTTATGAATAAGTTTTCCCTCCATATTCCCTAGAAATGGGCAATTAGGGGCGTCAATTGTGGTCGGTGTTTGCGTGGAGTGAGATCGTGTTCCATCAACTGGACCATGGCAACTTGTCAGCGTTTCCGTCGCATCACCCACATCGTCCTGTTCGTCCTTTTCGTCCTCGATGCTGTCACATTCGTGTGACAAATGCGCACTTGGCTTAATCAGATGGAATATGCCCTTGCCGCGAGGGTATAATCACTTTCACGAGCAGCTCTGTGCGTATGATGGCATGCTTTTTTCGTAGAGTAATCCCCTTTTTCTGTTGGCGCAGAATCGCGACTCTTGCCTCTAATTAGTAGCCTTTTTTCGTTCGCTTCCCAGTCTTCCACTTTATCCCGCAAATGTTTTTGAGCGCGAGATTGATGGTGATTCATTTTTTATGCACGAAGCTGTCTGTCCCTTGCAATGTGATCCGGACAAATGGACGGGGGGCCAGTGGGTTCTGGTTCTTGGCGATTATTTCGAGGGGGATTGCATTAATTAGCTAAAAACAAAAGCTTGTTATTTCTTGCTGACGCTGCTCGAATCGCACAAAAGGCCATTAAATGCTGTCAGCTTTGGCAAAAACAATTCTGACACGAAAATTGGATTCGTTTATATGCATTTTCAATTGTATTTGCCCACCTATACATATTATATTTATAAAGTCTACATGCATAACAATATGGGCTAAAGTTCCAATGGGAATAGTGTGAAAATTGTTTTTCACCTTCGATAGCTGCGAATTACCATATTTTCATAGCAAACGAAAAAGGGAATGCGGCACGTGAGATGCCTGGGGGGGCAGAAATGCAATTTTTACCTCGCATTTTGGGTTACTTTGCAGCCAAAGCTCGAAAAGATGCTAAAAATTGCAACGGAATTGCAAATGCTGTTGACACTTGCACAATGCAAACAATTGCCCCAGCTATCAGCTTTTTCCTCACCCTCTTTCTTTTGTCCTGTCATAAAATGTCCCCTCTCTCTTTTTGGGATGTGAAAGTTTTGAGTTTGGGTTTCCCAGGCAATTTTCATGTTTACGTAGGTTTTGGCAACACTTGATTGCCTTTTGGGCTTTGCCCAAGGAGAACGGAACACTGGATAGGTGCCAGGAAGTTTCGCACCACATCCTAATAATTTCACTCGCCTTTGCATAATCCTGGGAATAGAGCATGAAAAAATTATAGGTGACGTGCATTTGAGATCGATTTTGAAATGGGATTATTATATTATTATATTACTTGGATGGGACTTGATATAAAATAAATTAAAGGCAAGAGTATAAGCTTAATCCATTGAGTGTTGGATAAATGTCTGCTTACCTGTTCCTGGGTATTTGCCAATATTTTGATCGCCTCACCATAATCATGGGTTAGATGTATGGGAACCGGATGTGTATTAAGTCAAGCACAAGTTCTTAAGCATCTACCCATATCCGATTTTTCTCGTCTGTGTTTGTGCAGCATCTGCAGCCAGTCCCCTCCACATCCGCATACGATTGGCTTGCAGGCTGCGGCTCATAAATCATATTTGTATTTGGATCTCGTTCGCCAACCCCCCGCTCAACCCAATTTCCTCTGAGTTTTCCCGCAGCGACGACAACATTCAATCAAAATGCTGCAAAATCCCACAAATTTGTTATTCGTCACGTATCCAAAGGGAAAGTTGAATGTGTGTAACTGTGTTTTTCATTTTCTATTTTTTTCATCGAAAGAGCGGGGTATTACGTATACGCCCAGTCAAAAGGCGTTTACGAAAAGAGTTTAAAGCCAGCGCGCGGGCATTTAAAGTGGCGTAATATGTAAATATCGCCATAGAATAATATGCATTACCCATTCCGCTGGCGAGGACTCCCTGCGAAGCCAACATATGCCGTACATTTGCCAGCAAGACAACTTATCAAGTTTACACTCAACTGAATATTTAGAGTCGCTGTTGAGTTGAGTTTCCCCCATTTCGTTCGGTTTTCTCGCACTTTCCTTCTGCGCACTGCTTATTAAATATTAAAACGATAAGGAAAAGGCAAGGGAAGGGTCTCCTTTTTTGGTTTTTGGTGTGTATGCATTGGGCCTTGTGTTCGCCCCTGTTCATGTCTGTCATTTGCTTTTGCTTGGCTTTTTTTTCGTCCTAGCGGCTTTAGCCTGAAATCTGGAAAAAAAAAACAAAATTGTCATAGAGCACTGAGTGCTTTTAGTCGGCTGTTGGCTCTATCATATTTAATCACGATTCATTAGTTGAAGTTTATGTAATTTTTGCAAAGAATATTAACAAAATAAGCATAAAACTATAGTTTTGTTTAAACAAGGATAATTAATGAGTTTTTTGTTACAATATAATTCTTTAGTTGCATTAATAAAAAAAAATATCTTTCATGTGCATATACATATCATTTAATATTATTTGGTAATATTTTCTTTAAAAATAAACAACGACCAATTTATCTGCATCTTGTTTTTTTGTGTGCTTTGTGATTGACGTTAAAATCGATGGTAAACGGTCTTTTCATGGGATTTTAGTTTGGTGCTTAAGCCATTAATCGCAGTGTCATTACCCTATCCCCTTCATATGCTAATATTCCCAATCATATTTTCCATGTCGCAATCATTTTCTGCTCTCCTTTCAGCTTGTTGTGTGTTGTTCTGTGGCATTTCTTTGGCCCTGATTGCAAGCATTTGCATAATTTAAGAAGCTCTCCGTCTGCGTGTCTGCTGTCTTGAGCTGGCAAAGCATGAAAATGAAAATGAAAATTCCAAGCCCTCTCTCTCCGCCGACTTGCTGTGCAGAAATTATCATATCTTTTGAAGCTCTGTTCTAAATTATTAACGAAATAAATAGCAAAGGCAGCCAGGGCGCCCGAGCGCCATGGGAATATTGAAAAAGTTTCGCATTTCCATTTACCATTTACAATTTTTTCGATATTTTTTCGTCGTATTTTTTGCAGGAGCTGTGAGCAGGGAAGCGGCGGCGGTTAAGCAACGACAATCGGGGGCATGTCCACAGCCAAAAGGCTGGTGCTCTCGCTACGTGGACGCAAGAACTCGCAGGGCAACTCGGCGACCTCATCCACTCGCCTGGTATCCGCCGGCACATCGCCCGGCCATGAGCTGGACGAAATAGCGGTGGTCTCGGGCACCGGATCCAGCAGTCACCACTTCTCCTATGGCGGCTGCCTCGCCACCGGCGATGCGCCTCTGCCGCGCTACTCAACAGGTGAGTGAGCCCTCGACTCTTCGACTCTCCCACCCCCCCAACTCTCCTATTCCGACCACTAAGCGCGAGAATCTAGCACCTGAACTGCAGTTAAGTAAGAAGTCACAAAGAAATGTAGACCCACCACCAATTACCAACCACCACCACCTGCAACACCACCGTGACCTTTGTGAAACCCCCAATGAACCTGCTCTGCATGCCGTTAGAAGTGTTCTGCTCATCTCATTTACACTGAGGGCAACCGGTTAGCTTTTACTACTAAATACCTACCTGCTAGGCTTAGCAAATCATAATGACTGAATTGCAGTTTCTAGAATATCGGTCTTAAGATCCCTTTAGCTTAAAACGATATAAGTTCTGTTTTCGAGAATTATAAAAGATGTTTTTTGGAGCGAGATCAAAATTTGTTATTCTATATGTTTTTCAGTTTCACAATTAATTTAAGCACTAAAAATAATCGCATCTATTTTGCCTTAAATTCGTGGCATATTGAACGTGACTTTCAAGTCTTTTAAGAGCTTAGAAATAGTGGTATTATTCCTTTTTTATTGCTTTATGCACTTATTGACTTTTTAAGAATTGTTCAATATTTGGACTAGATTAATGCAGAGCACATAGAGTTTAAAATGGCTGGCGACTTTATTGGATTCTCCTGTTTTTTATTTAGTATTTGGACAGTTGAATAGCATTTTTTATTGGATCTTCTTAAATTCTAACCTAACCAGTTGACAAAGACATCTCTATTCTCGCCGATCCAACAGTGCTTACAACTGTAGAATGCAGATTCAGGGCTTGGGCCCTGCTAAATTATGGAAATCTGGGGCCTAATGAAAGCGATGAAGATTTGATTTGACAAAAGCGCCTTAGCGAACACAGAGGCAAGGGCCAAAAGCAAACAAATAACAAACCATCTTGGCCAACCTAATGGCAGCTGTTGTTGGCTCTGCAGAATAAATCAATCAAATGACAAATATGCTTAGGCAATTGTCAAGCCAAGTGGCTGCTGCTTGGGTTTTGGCCTAATTTCCTGCGGAGGCTGCGGTCGCCAGTTGGTTGACGTCTGAGTGTGTGTGTGCTTGTGTTGTTTTAGCCAAAGCCACATGAGCGACGCGAGTCCTTCGTTAGTTTCCTTGTCACATTTTATAGGCCGCATATGTGGCAAGCGATTCTCCTCTCGCCTGGCTCCTGGCTCCTGGCACGTTCCTTGTCCTGGCTTACAGTTAATTTTGAGTGAAATTCAATTTATCATTGAGCGGGGCATAAATCCGCATTTGGGCCACTTTGGCTCGTCACGGGCACAGACTTTTCGCAGCTTAGATTTATTTCGGTCGATTCTGTTCTGGTTTTCCCACGACACTGGCAAACTGCCTTCAATTTGTCAGCGATGAAACTTTTCCTCACATACTCAGTATAGTATTCGCCGTGCATTTAATGGGACTTGGTGTGCAGCACCAGTGCTGCCATCACTCAGCTTGAAAAACAGGACAGATAAGCCACAAAAAACAGGGAAAAAAGGACAAAAAATTTAAGAAAAGGACAAAAAAAAGGACAAAAGTAAATGTGCCTACATTTTTCTGTTTTTACCAATGGGTTATATATTTACTTAATATAAATGGATTTTAAATAAAATTTAATGATCTACTGCGCCCGACTCACAACCTTCTTTGTTTGATAATTTACCATGGTAAATTTTTGTGCGTATACGTAATAATCTAAAATTATTATAATAATTAATGCATTTCAAGTAACTATATTCGTAATAGAAAAAATTAAATATCTGCGTCAAACCCGAAAAAGAGTCGTTCAAATCTGAATTTTTTTTCTGACAAAAAAGCAGAGAGTAAAAATTAAGAAAAAGTGCTTTCCTCTTTTTTTTGCTACAGAAAAAATCGTACTATAAAGAAAATCCATCGACTGCTTTACGTCTCTTTGATAATTTGTAAAAAGAATTATATTTTAAGTGCCGAACTGTAAGAATGATGGTTAACAAGGCATTTTAGCAAATAAAAACAGGTTTATACACTTTCGACTAGCAAAAATAACACTCTAAACCTTTTTTTTGAAAAAAGGATAGATTTCCGGATAGGGGATGTTTGAAATTTTTTCCGGATAAAGCCGTTAAAAAAAGGACAGATCTGTCCGGAAAGAGGACAAAATGGCAGCACTGTGCAGCACATCGGGCATTTAGTGGAAGTTCTTTTGTTTATTGCCCAGAAATGTAATCGACATTTATCGCCTATTCCTTGACTTTAATATCTGCCCATGCTTTAACGCTTTTCGAGTAAGGAAAGCCATACGTAGTAGTATGTAGATAGATACAAAGTGAGTTGAAACCGAAGCGTACAAAAACATGAGCAAAAAAGTTTTCAGCAACTTTTGCCATATTTTTCCACAGCCCCAAATGCTTTCGACAATTTTTAGTACATTGCTCTTGGACAACCCCCTCCCCGGATTCTTCATACATACGTATGTTTTTGTGTGTGACAAAGGCAATTTTCAGCAGAGCTTTGATCAAAGTTTCGGGCGGGCCCTAGCATCAGTAAATTAAATTTGACTTACACACAAAAATCGGCATAAAATACAAGGGGAACAAGTAAATAAATAAATCCACAGCATAAATTCTAGCTATATGTCATTGGCAAGCACGAGCTTAGCTTAAATCGATATGCGCAGCTCCTAAAAGCAGGGAAAATTGAATTTGCCTGAACAATTCATTCGCCTACTTCTGTGGGCTAAATGATCAATGGGGCTGAATAGCTTTTATATGTCTATTAGATGGCCAGATAAAACGCTTTTCATATCCATCTGGTCCGTTGTGTGTGTGTTTGATGGTATTTTTGATTTTTTCGCCGATGAATGCCTTTGTTCGAGTCACGTTTAACTGGAAAAAGCCAAAGGATTTAGCCATCAACAGTGGCCAATGGCCAGACTACTGCGGCTCTTTGTCTCTCTTTCCGTTTCTCTATTGTCTCTTGTTTTGTATCCTGCAATAATTGAGCTTAGAGGGTCTTATGGCAGCTGCATCATTGATTTGCCACCCCTCAGGTCTCAGGGGGTCACCCCCTTTTTTCTCACCGCCGCCTGGCCGTCCAAGTTTTCGGAAAAGTTTCTCCGTTCGTTTTTCTTTCCATTTTATTTCGTTGGATTTTTGCTTTTAGCCCAAACTCAAACCCGAAAAAGACTTCACTGCCAGACATAGTTGAGTCGCAGCAAAACTTTTTCCATTTGCCAACAGAGTTCACTTTCAGAGCGAACGAATGGGCAAGGCGAGTGGTGCTGGGGGTATACGACAATTTTAAAGTCTCCCGCTCGCACTTGCAGCAGGCAAAATTGCGCATGTATAATTAGTTTTATTTACCACCTGGCACACAAATTTTAATTAGAATTTATGCGTCCTTCTCCAGTGGCCTCCGCTGGGCTACCGCCCACTGCTAATCCTTTGGCTGCCGCCTCCGCCGCCGCTTTCGGTGCAACTTCTCCTTTGTCTTGTAAGCCGTCTTTGGCAGTAAGGAATTTCCTGCTGGCCAAGGGTTTAACTTCAGCTAAAACGCTGAGCACTGAGCAAATATCTAGTTTGAAACTAAAATAGTTATACGGTTATAAATTATTTTCTATTTTATTTATTTTACTTAGCACTTCATTTACATAGCAGTTTATCTAGAATGTAAATGTAAAAGTTGGCTTACAATTTTAAGTCTCACGGAATTTTTTAAAATATTTTTATACCCTTGTAGAGGGTATTATAATTTCAGTCAGATGTTTGCAACGCAGTGAAGGAGACGTTTTCGACCACATAAAGTATATATATTCTTGATCAGCACCAATAGCCGAGTCTATCTAGCCATGTCCGTCTGTCCGCCTGTCCGTTTCTATGCGAACTAGTCTCTCAGTTTTAAAGCTATCGCGATGAAACTTTCCCGAAAGTCTTCTTTCTATTGCAGGTAGTACATATGTCTGAGCGAGCCGGATCGCACCACTATATCTTAAGGCTCCCATAGGAATATTCAAACAAATATAAGAAAATTCATTGTAACTTTGTAGGAAGTAGGCGTTTTGATTCTTGACTACTTAAAAACAAAATTTAAATAAATAGAAACGCTGAATCTGGAATCTCTGGAACTGCACCGAGTGAGCATTACTTTATCTGCAAGGGTATATAAACTTCGGCTGGCCGAAGGTAGCTTCCTTTCTTGTTTTATTATACCCGTTACTCGTAGAGTAAAAGGGTATACTAGATTCGTGCAAAAGTATGTAACAGCTAGAAGGAAGCGTTTCCGACCCCATAAAGTATATATATTCTTGATCAGGGTCACTAGCCGAGTCGATCTAGCCATGTCCGTCTGTCCGTCTGTCTGTCTGTCCGTCTGTATGAACGCTGAGATCTCAGAAACTACAAAAGCTAGAAGGTTGAGATTTCCCACACATATTCTTTGGCTTCCTACGCAGCGCAAGTTTATTTTAGCCGAGCGCCACGCCTCCTCTAACGCCCACAATCGCCCACTAACGATTTTAAAATGGGTCCTGTGCCCACATCTTTAAAGATTTCCGAGAAGTATAAATGCAATTTAGTTGTGTATAAATATACCTATCGAAATGTAGAAGACATTTTTCAAATCGGACCATTCATTAAAAAGTTAAACGCAATCAAAAATTATATATCTATCTCCCTCGCACACCCTTTAGCTGAGTTACGATTATTAGTCAAGACACCAACCCGACACAGCGTTCGCACTCCCTTTAGCTGAGTGACGGGTATTAGATAGTCGGGACAACAACCCGACTATAGCGTTCTCTCTTGTTTTTTATTATGTACCTTATACATATATTTAATAATATTTTTTTTATTAAATATCACTAATTTTTTTCTTTTTCAAACTTCGAATACAAACATTTTTTGAAACTGTAAATCAGCTTTTCACCCAGCTGAACTTTAGTTGTTGGCCATATGTAATTCGAGTAGTTTCAATTATAAAAGCAATTTGCCAGAGGACGGCAGAGTT